CAACCTAATACAAAGACTATTTCTCCGTGGGAAAACACCTGAAGTTAACCAATAGCGGGAAATTAATCGAACCTGTCTGATTTCTTCTGTTACAACTGAACTATTACAGAATGTTTTTTACTAAATTGACTTAGGTGAATAGCCGTGTGACGGTTCCAATCAAATGTGAACGCATTGTGTTGGTCACCGAATCAGCAGTGGCAATTGCTTGTTTCATTTCTTCTATTTTTTCCATTACTTTTGATATCAGAGCACGGTGGCCGAAACAGTCAGCTGCCTGATGAAATTCTGCATATGGTCCTATTTGCTTCCCTTCTGGTCCTTCATGTCCAACATGCCTACTATGCCTCTTACTGCTCCGGTTCGATTCCCTCGTGGCACTGTATGGCGTATTCAAGAACACACTGTGCATTTCACCGTGGAGGAGAATTGTCCAGTTGGGACCAAACTGGGCAAGATCACACCAGCTCAGTCCCCATTGACCAATGGATTCGAGGCAGACAGTCAGTTGCATAGCGGAGTGAAATATCAATTTGGTGCTCCATCTAGCCTTTTTACTGTTGATGAACAGACTGGTATGGTGTCTACTGTTGGCAAAATCGACGCGGAACAACTCTGTGCAAAAGCACGAGATGAAGAGCGATCGGGAATTGTTGTCGGTAAGAGTTGTCCGAAAGTTGGAAATTTCGGAGATAATGAACGAAATAGTTTAAGGGGAAATTTGTCTGAATGTCACAATCTAAATAAGCAGCAGATCATTGGATTGAATGTTCTGATGATAACCGTGATGATTTTGACGCATAAAGCTTTTCTTGACTTTATTTGACTTGACTTGACTTGACTTGGTAACTTGAATGAGAATGCTGCTGCTGCTAATGATGATCATGAATGATTTGGCGCTTATGATCAAAATAAAATTCTAAATAAGTGTAACTGAGAATGGATGGTAATATAGACAAATTTCCAAAGGAAAGGAAGGAGTCTTGAAGACGGGACAAGAAAATTCTCCGGTGACAAAGAAAGGATTAAGCAGATCAACAACGTGAGATAGCTCAATGTTTTAAGTAATTGGAACGATGTGGGCACTAAAACGTCCATATTCCCCTTGTCTCAGATTATGTTTCCTTTGAATATATCATGTATATTACAAGTGCATTACGCAGACCATTACTTAAATACCAGAATGCTTGCCGGATGTGTGAATATCTTTGCAGAAAAGATGAATATTTATAAATTTTCCTGCTCTAGCAGCTGTGCTGAAACCCCGACACAATTATCGGACTTCCTCTATTCTATGTTGCACACTAGCCCTTTAACTGCCTTCATTTCCCTTATAATTTTATCGTCGTATATTTGATAGAAGAAAATAAGATGAAAATAAAGAGACAAAAAAGGTGTAATAGGCCTCGATTTTTCGGATTATTCCGACTGATCAGTGTGACTTCGGATACAAATATAAAGTGAGCGATATACCACGGACGTATGTGGTATGGAGACAAATCTATTATAAAGAACTTATGTTATGCTTTGCTTGATCCAGTTTGGGTGATGCAATACCGCGCATTCAATTAGACTAATAGTTGATACGAACCAGACGCCACTTATGAGACTGACTCTGGAAAGAACCGAAGTCAGTTGTATGAACTGTATTTGCTTTCCCCGAAACGTGTGTTCTACTTTTGTCGTGGTACGGCTTTGCTCATATGGATGAAACCCTTGGAATAGTTGATTATTTTTCCTGCGTGGAAAGCGCAAATTTATCTTCCCATCTATCGATTGTCCCGCAATCATTGTACGTGGCTTTCCAGGTGGTGAAACCCTTAACCTGAAAATGCAATCAAATGTGTCGTATTTCTAGTTTTCTAGGTTTGGGTTCTGTCATCCAGTTCAATCAACGAATGAAATCACGTAAAGATAAAGCTTTGGTGTAAACATTGGTAATGGTGTCCACTCACCGATTACGCCTTTCTAATTTGACCTGCATTTTCTGATACGCTAATTTCAGATACTTTTGTTCAGTAGACTATCCGAAACAAGGAAATAAAGACTCGCAAATTATGAGCAAATACCAAACACTTGAATGTAAAATATTCTGTTTCTTGTTAACTGCTTAAGGATAAACTTTTATTGGGTAATCCAAATTACCGCTCCAAATTTCCCCACAGATTTTTTTCTCCGGAATCTGTTTACAACTAAACAATGATCAGAAAATGGATGCTTGCAAATCAATAAAATTCTTCAATGCAAACCTCTTGATCCAAGCAATAAACGCTTTTTATTTTTTTTACTTCAACTGTGATAAAATTTCTCACCATCCACTTTGTTCTGTTCAGCCTTGCGAAAGAATTATTCGATATATTTCAAATGCATTGGTTTTCAAAAATCGACCAATTATTAGTTCATGAAACAGTATTGGTTGAGTATTTATATTTGTGTGATAACGAGGGTCTACCCCAAAGGGGCTATCAAAGTTAACCGATTACACTACTTATGAGCGAAAACCAAATGCACGTTAGGTAAACATATTATAAATCTTTAATAAATCCGCTCTTTAGGTCATAGGAAAATTATTATCAATAAATAACCCTTTTTGTGTACTTTAGACGGCTGGGTTGCGGAGGAACAGCCAACTATACTCGATCGAGTTTCATGTCCTCAAAACGGAAGCCTTACTGTGCACGTGGATATAAATATGGTTCGTGCTGATGCAAGCCTCGTGTCCATTTTTCGCACCATCATACATGTGAAAGACCTCAACGATAACGCGCCCTATTTCGACCAACCCAGATGGCATCGAAGACTGAAGGAGGCACTGTACCGAAAAGGTCGTCGATTAGATCTACCAAAAGCTCAGGACAATGATGTGACTCTGCCGAATCGACAAATTCGCTACCGACTTGAACCATCGGTAAAAGAGGTGAGCAACAGTTTCGGACCGTTTCGTTTGGAAATCAGTCCAACCGGACAACCAGGTTTAGTGTTGATGGAAGATCTAGATGCTGAGCTGTATTCGGCTTACCATTTGATTCTGGTCGCATACGGTCCATTAGAGTTGGATCGGGATCGAACGGTCAACACCGGGTGGAGTGATTCGTCCCAGTCCGAAGCCCGCCTGGAAATCTATATTGAAGTGATCGATATGAATGACAATGAGCCGCGGTTTGCGAGAACAAATTACAACATCAGTGTTTCGGAAGATACGCCAGTCGGTTCGATCATTTATCAAGTGAGCTCTCGTTCTCCTAGGTCTTCATTTTTTCGTAACCAATCAAAATGAAAATGCTTCCCAACCAAATTCCATCCAACATTTAGTACATTGTTTTTACATGATTCGAGTATGATAATTTTGTGATAGTTGACAGAAACACCAAATTAAATTGTTGAAATGAAATTAGGTATGTGCCGCCTAATACCGTGTTTCTAATGTGCTATCGTGTAAAATAGGAAAATGTGTATGTCTCAATCATTGCAAAGTTTCGGCTCATAAACTTGTCATATTCACTAAGTTTGGTACTGTTCGTTGCACATCACAGGAAGTGGTGCTCTACAATTTACTGTGAATATTTTTTTTCAATTCTCTAATGTGTATATTGAAACATGCATGTCAATTTAGTAGCAATGTTGCATAGGATTAGTTTAGAGCAGGTTTCAAATATCACCAAAAAACGCCACCGTTTTGAGGAATTTAACATTGCGAGAATATGGGTGAACATATTCTGGAACGCATCAAAAGCACACTCAGCTGACGAAGACAGCGATGGGCCGACAAACCAGATGTTTTGCGTGAACGAACAAAATTTGATGATCGTGAGAACGTAGGTTATCAAACTGGGTTGTTTTCGTTGCTCAATCAACTAATTTATTAGAGCACTAAACTTTCATTCCGTTTGATGAACCCTATTCGCAAGATACATCGATATTTCACTGCCAATCATCATGTTTTGAACATTGTGTCACAAAATTTGATCTGTGTGTCTATGATTTATTGGAAATCTGTCTGGTTGTTCAATCCATGTCCATTAACTTAACAGATTATCAAAAAATTATAAAATATAGAATGGTCAACGATACAGTAAAGCAAAGCTTTTCTAGATCATGGATACAGTTAACTGACTAACCATTTGAGCGCTTGAAATCGATTTAACAGCAACTGATATATAAACTAGCTCTTTTTTAATTCAGCATTTTGTCCCACCCTTCTTCTCAACTGATTACCTAAACAAATCTTACTGGTTAATACTACGAAAATTCCGACTGGTCAACTTTTCTGGGACGTCTTCATCTAGGCTGCAAATGTCTAACACCGACAAGCTAAGAACTATCGCACTGATTCAAAATCATCTGAGTTCTACCAGCCATAGCCAAAATCACGTACATTCCTTGATTTTTTCAATTTATTTTTATTGAGTTTATGGCGGTACAGACAATTCCATTGAAAAGTTAAGACATCGGTTCAAAAAGCTGTCCTGTGTTGCAAACAGATTTGAAAATATATACGGCCCCAGTTTGGTTCAAATGCAAAACTAACGAATCGATAAGTCAGTGACCATTGCTACTTGATCAATATCATGGTTTAGGAGAAGTCAGGAGGTTAGAAAACTAAAGACCACTACGTTTGTGAGGAAGAACTAATCATATCGGAATCGACAACTCACATATAAGGAAACAACACGGGTTGCAATAAGAGAAATACTTGTTAGACTTCCGAAAATTTCTCCGGACCTGTAAGACAAATTTTGGAGATTTCTTAAAGGGTGCTAATAGAAACTCCTGTGGTCTGGAATGCGTACACGAGATTTGTAGCGTTGGCGTTTTGACATTCACTTAACAACAGAATAATGCAATCCGAAACTGTAATTCGCCTTGATTTCCATCACTGCGCCATTGACGGACGCTTATTGCTCCTCAATCCCCGAATTCCAACTCTTCATCTATGCAAACACTGGATAATTTAGGAAAAAAAGAGAAAGATAGTACACCTCAGTTGAAGTAACCGTTGAGGTCAGATGAACCCAAAACTTCGTGCAAGTGTTCTGAACAACAGGATCGGCAAACCATTCAGTTTGTCATAACAACACTTTATCCTAATTGTTTGACCATTGCGGTAGTGTAATCAGGGATGCAAATAGTAAACAAAATGAAAACCACATAAATTATTATTCGTGAAAGTATAGATATTTACAATAAGTGGAATGTGAATTATTGGAGAAAATTTCCCTGTAAGCACACNTTCGCGGTTCTCACCGCTCGTCAAGCGTCAGTTTCCGGTAATCTTTGCCCAGTTATTTCATAAACGTGTACGCAGGAAGTATATTTTCGTCACAATGACAAATATATATATATATATATATATATAAAAGAACGACGTTATTCATGTATTATGAAGAAATTTCAAAATATTTTACCATTCATTGCTGAAACCAGTAGATCGTTATGTTATATACTTTAATTTGGGCAAACAAAAAACCAAAAAAGCCAACCAATTTGTGTTTCGAAATTTCCCAATGATTCCGTATGCGAATAAGGCAACATCTGGATTGTCCAAACGCAACGCGCTCCTTTACATTGCATGTGGGAACAGATAATCAAACCACCAGTACATCAATTCAACGACGCAGTCCCCTCAACATTAACATTATGAAACAAATCCATAGACGCTTACTCAATTACTTTGACCTCCAATCTGTCGTACATGCTTAAACAATATACCCGATTGTTCTACACTTCAGCAATTGAGGAGATCTAATGGAGTAATGAAATCTACAGATAAGTGAACTCTTTCGGTTTCAAAACCTTGGATAAGTATGATCTAATCTCGCTTCAATTTTGGTTGATTTACCCTACCTCAAATGATATCTCGGTTGTGTTGCCTTTTATGGAAAATGTCTAAATGTATTACACATGGGTATTTTGGAAATTAAGTACTTTCTAGATATCGCATCCTTCCAGATTTTGGTTAGCTCATCTGAGTGCAGGTCTGCAGGATCGATGAACCGAGATTAGGAAGCTAATTAAACTGTACCGTTGTAGAATCCATTAGATGTGCAAAATCAATCCATTCTATTGCAACGCGTAAGCTCAGCTGATAAATTTCACACCTCGTTGTCAACATCCACAGATACGAATACAAACACTCTCTCAAACAAGTAAATTTCTATCGTTGTAAATGTTCAGAAAAATAACCTTGAAATACAAAGGCAATCGCAAACGCAATTTTTGTGTTCAGATTAATCAACGTGTGATAGAAATCCGGTTTTTATGTCGATAATCTGCCATCCCGCTTCCATGATTGAGTATTCATTTACTTTCGTAACCGAACAAACTTAGACCTAGTGGGCCTGGATGTACTACGGTCACACTGGAAAGAAAAGCCGCCAAGCAACTCATGTGTTCAATCGGATTAGCCGTCAGTCTCTTCATGCCGAGAACAGCTGATACAAATTGAAATCCGGTATCCATAATGTAGCCATCCATTTGAGTACTGGATCAGATCCGGTCCAATAGGGAACATGTAACGCATCATATCGGTTTGCGTTTCTGCTTGCTCTTTGGAAACGATATCCCATAGAGTTTTCCATGATGAGAGAAGTACAAACTGGTTTTAATTACTCTGTCATGAGCTATCAATAACCCATGATAAAGAAGTGCTAGATTCGGTGTGGCTTACGCGTTGACTTAGTGTCTGTCTCTCCTCAGTGCAATCTTATTTAATTTCTACTCCGCTATGCACGCCTTCAAGTGCCCTTCAAAACAGAACGAAACCGGTGAAAAGAAAGCAGCGTTATGGGCACATAAAACGATCGATACCTTCCTTACTCCAGAGTAACCATACGAACATTTGGCAATTGGACAAGTTTGTTTGGAATTGGCCATTGATCAAAATATCCTACTGTAAATAATAGTAGGAAAAAAAACATGCACATTTGTCCCATTGATAATTCACAGTAATGTGGCTTATATATTTTATTGAGTGAAACGTAATGGATTCGGAATCAATTCGTTCCGTGCACTTCTGCTTTGAACAACAACTGTCTACCCCTAAGGATGACCGACGCGTGGATTGTTTAGCTGTCACGCCGTTACATTAAGGAAAACTTAGCGCAAGGCGACAGCACGTTCGTTAATCTTTGTACCAGTTGTAAAACGAATAGCATCCTATTCTTCGAATCGGGCAAGAACACGCGGCAATACGAAACAGGTAATGCG